TGGGGGCAGCTGGGGCAGGGCCAGGCGGGACATCTGTGGGGAGAGGAGAGAAGGTGAGCCACAGGTAGACGGTGCAGCGGGGGTGCAGGGCAGGGGCAACGTGGAGCTGCAGCTGAGTCGGGGCTGGGGGACCTCCAGGCTGCATATTCACAGGGGGGCTGTGGTGTGTGGGGTGAAGTGTTTAGGCTGGGAGCTCTTCAGGGTGTGGGGTTCAGAAAATTGAGGCTGGGGTCAGGATGGGCTTCCAGAGCTAAGTGTGGGGGTTGGGGGTGAAGTCTGTGGAGTCAGGGCTGGCATCTTAGTTGTAGGTGAGGGATCAGGCCTGGGGGTTGTGAGGGTTGCCAGGGCAAGAATCTCAGCGCTGGGCTTTTGTTGTTGTTTTAAAAAAAATTAACCCTCACGCCTGTAATCCTAGTACTTTGGGAGGCCGAGGCGGGTGGATTGCCTGAGCTCAGGCAATCCGGTCTCTATTAAAATAGAAAAAAAATTAGCCGGGCATGGCAGCATGGGCCTGTAGTCCCAGCTACTCAGGAGGCTGAGGCAGGAGAATCGCATGAGCCCGGGAGGCGGAGGTTGCATTGAGCCGAAATGGTGCCATTGCACTCCAGCCTAAGCAACAGAGCGCGGGACTCTGTCTCCAAAAAAATAATAATAATAATAATTAAGAGACAGAGTCTTGCTATGTTGCCCGGGCTGTCTCAAACTCATGGCCTCAAGAGGTCCTTCTGCCTTGGCCTCCCATGCCTTGGGATTACAGGAGTGAACCACGGCGCCCGGCCAGGGCTGGGGTTTTAGAGAGTGTCTGGGGTCTGTGGGCTCGAGTGTAGGGTCAGGCCCTGGATCTCAGGGCTGAAGTCCTAGAGGTGGGGTCTCTGGGTTCCAGTTCAGGAACTCATGGGTGAGGGCTGGAGTCTCAGAGCTAGAAGTTGGAATTTGAGATCCAGGGTCTTTATTTGGAGCTAGGCCCAGGAACCAGGCTTTGAAGGTTTCTGGGTTCAGGGCTTTGGGGCTGGCTTTGGAAGTGAGGGTCTTGGGGCTGTACAGGCACAGGCTCAGGGTCTGAGGTCTCGGGGTTTTAGATGTGGGGAGTGAGACATAGGGCCTCAGGGCTCAGGGTCTAGGGCCTTGAGGTCTTGGGTTTGTAAAGCCAGGGCCCCAAGGCTGGCTTTGGGTCAGGGTCTGGGATCTTAGGGTCTGGGATCTTTAAGGTATCAGGATCTCAGGGCCAGGGCCTGGGGTCTCAGGGTCTGGAGGTCCATGGTTTTCTTTTCTTTCTTTCTCTCTCTCTTTCTTTCTTCTTTTTTTTTTT